GGTGAGGGCTGAGGTTCTGTGATCTCCTAGATCTGGGGACCTGTGCTTGATCACGACTATGGGTTATACTAGGGAGAGCAATCATGCTGTGTTTCCAGATTCATCCCTCTAGGTCTTTTTATTGACATTGGCCATGATTCATACTTTATTTTTTAGGTTCTAGGGAATTGAACTCAGGGGCACTCAACCACTGAGCCACATCCCCAGCCCTATTTGGGATTTTATTTAGAGACAGGGACTCACTGAGTTGCTTAGCACCTGCCATTTCTGAGGCTGGCTTTGAATTCACGATCCTCCTGTCTCAGCCTCCTGAGCCACTGGGATTACAGATGTGCACCCCCATGCATTTTTCTATCAAAACTTACCGAGCAGATCTGGAGATGTACAGAGGTTTATTAATGGGGAAGAGTGAACACAGGATGACAGGAGCTGTGGTTTATAAGTTGAGACTTTCGAATATATGTAAATAACACGCTGTATGTGTCACATTTAGTTACACTGACACAATGGAATATTATTCAGCCTTGAAAGGTGGGAAGGCTTGATATATACACAGCAACATGGGTGAATCTTAAGAGCCCTATGCTGAGTACAAGCCAGAAACTAAAGAGAACATAATGTCCAGTTCTGTTTGTGTGAAATGTCCAGATGGACAAATACACAGACACAGACACAGATTGGAGTGTGCAGGGATTGGAAGGTGAAGGAACTGAGAAGAAACTGCTCTATGGGTAAAGTGTTTACTTTGGAATGTGAAAGCACTTAACACCAGGCAGAGTGGTGGGCTCTCAACACGTGGTTATAGTGGCAGCCACCATGTAGTTCACTCTCTTGGTGGTTAATTTGGTCGGCAACCAGAATGGATTGAGGGATTCCTGCCAAATTTGTAGGTTGGTGGAAACAGGGTGACTCCAGAGAAGACTGGTGTGAGGGTCAGCAATGGAATGGGGAAGCCCCCCTGAATGCAAGTGGCACCGTCTAATAGGCTGAGGGCCTGGAGAGAATGGGGGGGGGCACTCTTGCTGGCACACATTCAACCCTTCCCGGGCAGGTGACTTTCCTGCTCTTGTCCCATGTGCATATCAGACTGCAGGTTGGTCAGCTTTGAATGTGGTGGCTTGTACCCATGGACCTTCAGGGGACTGTGGAGACTTCAGCCTCTAACTGGGGCTCCACATAGGCCCCCCTCTTATTCTAAGACTACCAACTTCCTGGACTGAGAAGCTACTGGTATTCCTAGCCCTCCAGGCACCAGCAAGTATAGAACCTTTCAGCCTCTGATCTTATAAGACAACCTAATAAATTCCTTCCTAAAATTACACATTTTCTTTTCCTTCTGTGTCTCCAGAGATTCTTAACATGACTTTAAAATGGTTAGCTGTATTATGTTCTTTGAATTTCTATTCAATACATTATTTTAAATGACATTTTTTTTTCTTTTGAGGTTGCACAAATATTATGGCATTTTGTCAACTTGCACTTTCCTGCACTTTCCAGACTTCATAAAAGATCATATGGAGTCAGAATTCAGGGGTCACAGAGAACTCTCAGAAACCTGATGCACTGCAGGGAGATCAACAGACAGTGGGAGGAGTGGAACAGCCTGAGCACCATTGGAGAAATGTGAGTGTGGAGTGTGGAGAGTTCGACTGCAGAGAGACGCACAGGGTCCTCCAGAGAAGACCAGGACGTGGGTGCAATTGGGGAAGGACCCATGTGGAGAAGTTAGAAAAGAATGTGAGAAACACAGGCAGATTTAGAGAAAAGGAAATGGCACACATTCAGGGAACTCATCATGCACCATGTCCCCAAGCTGCTCCAAACCTGCTCTGACCTGTGTTGAAAGGGCAAGACCTTAAGCTTGTTGGCACTACGATGATAAAAGTAGATTAAAAGACGATCACATAACAATATGGTACACACTTACTTCAGGCCCCTTAGTTCAATGGAGGCTTTGTACATGAGCACCATCCCATTCCTTTCCTGTAGGGCTTTGGCAATCACAGGGCCTGCCTTTAGGATAACACGCCCAAGACCCCAGCTGCCTGTGCACACGTGCAGTCTGGAGGGGCAGGCAGTCACCATCTGGGAGGTGGATCCTCAAATGAGTGAGGTGAGTAGCCTTGAAGACATGCTTCCAATCCTTCTGATTGGAAAATTCCAAAATGTGTTCTACCGAGTTCCAGAAAACCACACTCGCCCACAGTATGACCAAATGTAAAGACATGCCCTGTGGGAATAATGGAAAAAAATTTCTACCAATTTGAGCTCTTTTTTGGGGGGTATTTGTTACAGCTGCCAGCAGCAGCTTAAACCTCACACACATGCATACACAAAGGTAGAGCCCTGTAGATGTCTCTACCTGTTTATGGCTTCCTAGGTCTGGAGACACAGTTTTCTTTCATTCACTCAGTAGGTGATGCTGGAAACCTACTATGAGCTAGGTGTTCTACCAAGGGCTGTGGACAGAGTTTACTGTTTGATTTTCTAATGTGCTGGTTCTGAATCATTTTTGTCTCTGGATGTCTCATAATTTTAAAAATGATCGGTGACCCCAAAGAATTTGTATATGGGACTTAGTATGTTCATCTTCATTACATTAGAAATTAAAACTAAGGTTTTTTTGTAAAAAAAAACATTTAAAATAGTGATATAAATACATTACAGGTTAACATATTTCATGAAAATAATTATATTTTCCAAAGCATAACTGATTGAGAGAAAAAGAAATATTTAAGGTTTTGCCAACATCAACAATGTCTAGCTTTATAGAAGTCGGCTGAATTCTCAGCTCTGCCTTTGCATTCACTATACAAGAGTGTCATTTGGTTGAAATTTATGAAAAATACATAGGCTTACTCAGATATGCGAGAGTTGGAAAAATGGAAGCATTTGAAAAATCTTTTCAGATAAGAGTCAAAATCCATTTTTTGATACTGCACTCCAAATCCACAAGTGGTGGTTTCTTAAATATCAGGTGTATTCATGAATTTGAAGCCACATCAATGCCCATTCCATACTCTGCTATATTAAAAATGGTTAGTTTCTTGCATGTAGCATAGTTATTTTAGCCCTTCATGATTTTTAACGCCACACAGTTCTCACTCATTTGGAAGCTGCCTGGAAGGCAGAACATATGCTTTTCATTATACACCCCCAATCCTCTCCTTCAGAGCTCCACTGACCTCGT